GGCAGGCAGCGGAGGGCAGGGCCCGTCGCACCAGGATCCCACCTGGTGGGGCTCCGCAGCCTTCCCCAGAGCTGGCCCAGGCAGGCAGTGCTTCCCTTCCTACTTTCTCCCTTGCCTTGGTGGCCCCTCCTGGCCCCAGCCTCTCATTCGGGGAACCCTGGACAGCAGGGCCTCCTTCCCCCAGCTTGTCTGCCCTGACCTTACAGCCCTTGAGACTCCCCTGGGAGCCTCAGTGTGGGGAGTGCTCAGGATCAGGATTGTCCACGTGGCTCCATGAGCCTGCGCACACTACTTATGCCCGCAGGACCTCAGTCTCCCCATCCGTCCAATGGGTTAACACCACCTCTGCCTCCTTCCGAGCACTGAGGCCAGGTGCCTGCTGGGAATTTTCAAGGGAGGGCAGAGCAGGGGATTCACATGCAAAAAAGGTTGGCAAACACACGGATTAATAAATGCCTTTCCCGCTCCCTCCTTCCAGCGTTTCCCTCTTTGCTTTCTCCAACACCAGCCCCTTCTCTAGGCCGTCCTGGGCAGGGACGCAGCCCCATCTCACCAGGAGAAACGAAAGGGGAAAACAAGGAGAAGAAAAGGAAAGCTGACCCTCTGGGTGTCATTCACATGAAAACACAGCGCCCTCTGCACCTCGTGGTCTGGGGCTCTGAGAGCTGGCCGCTCCTTGGGAGGGTACAGGCACCCCAGTCAATGAGTCCAGAGCAGCCAATGCCCACAGGCCAGCAGCACCCTGAAAATGGGATTGTTGCCAGAGCAGCCGGATCCCACACGCAGTGTGTGGGGACAGGCTTTCCCGGGTGGGCCGGCCTAGATGGAAACCCAGGTCGCTTTGGTGTCTGTGAAAGTCCAAGACTCCGAAAAGGGGGCAGGAATCATTCCTGCTGGGCACTGCGCTGCCAGCATCTCACTGGGGTCCGTCAGAAGGAGCCGCTTCCTTGCATTTGGGGGGCTTGGCAGGCCTCTGCCATTTGGGTGGCAGCTAGGGTGGGGTCAGGTCCAGCTGCGAGAGAACAGAAAAGACAAGTTATATGGCGCTCTGTGCTGGGCAGTATGTGAGCACCTTTACGTGCACTGTATGTTTCTTCCTCCACAAATGTTAAGGGCTTGGTGGGGTTATTACCCTCATTCTACAGAGAGAGAAATAGATGCTCAAGAGGTGAAGTAAGTAGCTCAAAATGACCATGCAGCTAGCAAATAGCAGGGACTTGACCTGGAGGCTGTCTGCTTCCAGAATCTGCCCTATGAACTTGGTTCAGGGCCTCATCCAGTGAGGAAGGGCCAAGACAGGGATTGTTTATATCATGTGGGGTAGAGGGAGACCTCAGGAGTCCCTGCTTTTCTTTTTTTAAGATTTTATTTATTTATTTTTAGAGAGATGGGAAGGGAGGGAGAAACAAAAGGGAGAGAAACATCAATGCATTTTTGCCTCTCATGCGCCCCCTACTGGGGACCTGGCCTGCAACCCAGGCATGTGCCCTGACTGGGAATCAAACCAGTGACCCTTTGGTTTGCAGGCTGGCACTCAATCCACTGAGCCACACCAGCCAGGGCAGGGGTCCCCAGTTAAATGGGGGAGAGATGGTGCCAGGTAAGAGAAATCCTCCCATCTTCTCCAGCCAGGCCAGACCTGTGGACTGTGGGGTGATGAGCTGTCCCAGTTTGTCTGTGACTTTCCCAGACTGAGTCCTGAAAGTCCCACTTCTGGTTTGCCTGGGTCTCTGGGCCAGTTGCAGAGAAAGCCAAGTGGCCTGATGTGAGGACACAGTGAGGACACTGCCTGGGAGGCCTTTTCAATTACATTAGTTCCTGGCGGCACTAGAGGGAGACGCTGGCCTCCCTCCCCATTCTCCCCTCCCTTCTCCTTCCTGTGGCTCCGTGGGAGATAGTGATTCAGCAGCAGGTCGGATGCAGGCTAGACTGTGACCTACCCCAGGCGGATTCATCAGTGGGTGGGGGCTGCCAGTTCAGGGCGAGAACTGGGGCGAGGAGGGGAAGCGAGGGTGATCTCGACTCCTTCAGGAACAAGAGGGCTTGCTGTCCAGCACGGGGCAGTGGAGGGCAGGCGTGCCAAAGGCGGGGAACCCTGCCCTTTCCCCTGCGCCCGGGTAGGTGAGGCATGGGGGAGTCCCAGCCACTGGATACCTAAGCTGCTTCTCAGCCTGTTCAGCAGCTAAAAATGAGAAACGGCTTTGCTAAAAGGTGCCCACCCAGAAACTGCTAAGAGGCTGGAGGCCAGATGCTGGGAAGGAAATGTGCCTGCCATTCCCTCCCCTCGGCCACAGCCCAGCTGCCCCTCTGCCAAGACTCACCCTCCACTCCACTAACTCCCTGCGCTTCTCAGAGGCCCCAGTGCCTGCATCCCTTCCCCTTGGCACCCAGTGCTCCAGGGGTTGGCAGTATTCAGGATGTCGTGAACCGCCCGCTCCCCGGAGCAGGGCCTAGGTTCCCAGTGCCCAATCCCAGCCTTGCCTACTCACTGTGAGACCTCGAACAAGTTATCTAGCTCGTCTAAGTTTGGCTATCATAACCTGCAAGATGAGGGGCCACACCCCCTGGAGCAAGTCTGTGGTGGGAAGGGCTCTAACCTGGCTGGTGGACAGGCCGGCAGGGGATCCCACCGGAAGCATTGCAAGTACATTGTTCTTACTGAGCATGACTGTTTCTGAGGGTGGGTGGGGTCTCATGGAGACTGTGGTACCAGGACTGGAGCACCTCTCGGTACCACCTTTGCTTACACCTCAGGATTGTAGCAGAGGGGGCAGAAACCATGCTGGGTCCCAGGTTCTCAGCCAGCACTGGCCCAGCCTCCTAACCCACAGGGGACGCTTGTTGGAGATGCAGACAGGTGGGGGTGGGGCCCCAAGCCTGCATTTGTCGCCAGCTCCCCAGAGGATCCCATTGTGAATGGCCAGGTTGAGAATCACTGGCCCTGTCCTGGCACAGAGGAAGCACTCCACTCCTGTGGATTATGTCCCTCTCCCACTCCTGAGCCTCAGTGTGGCCCCTCGTCACAGGATAATGACCTGTCTGCTAGCCCCCTCCCCCAACCAGGGCTGTGGACAAGCTCAAAGAAAGTCCTGGGTAGCTTGCAGCCACACAAACAGGGAGAAGGTGGCCGCCACTGTGAGGAAGTTACCCCCTCTCTGGACTGCTGGCAGCCAGGGGACGGTCAGTGGGCCGTTGTGATCCCAGGCCCAGGGGGCTTCTCCTGCAGGACCGGTGGGAACATGGGGAGGCGGTGCCAGGAGGGGCAGCTCTTCGTTGCCATCCACTCTCTGCCCCTCCCTGGGCCTCACTCTGCAAAGAGCTTGAGAAACGAATTCCCTCCTTGGGAGTGGCAAGTCTGCTATGCAGGACACGGGCACCGTTCTGTACTCTCCCCTTCCTCACTGGGAATGCTCCCCACCGCTGAGCTTCGGAGACACAGCCAGGCCCCCTCGGGCACAGTCTCTCCCTGACTTCCTTCCACCCCAAGATGGAGCTGCCAGGTGGGGGGAGGGGCACGTGGAAACTCCCTCCTTCCTAGTCCTTTGGCAGCAACAGATTCAGCAGAGCTTCCTCCACTCCATCCACCCCGAAGTTTTCATGCCTGTGGGTGGGCTCGTAAGCCACTGCCCTTCCCCAGGTTGGGTGACCTTGGGCAGTGGCTGAACTGTTTCCTCACCTGTAAAAGGGAGGCGATAGGACCTTCCTCTTGGTGTGGATGTGAGGGTTGGAAGAGGCATGGGATTTGAAATCAGAAGGGAGTTCTCCAACAGGAGAGCGGAGTAGGGGGGATGGTATCAGAAATGCAGGTTCCTGGTCCTCGGCACTGGTGTTCTGAGCCACCCAGTCCTGAGCCCAGACTGGAGGAAGCACAGGACTCGAGGGGAGCCCTCTCCCTGCGCTGTGTGGGCGAGTTACCTTGGGGCTCACCCGAAGTTCCACAGCCCAGACCAGCCCATCCCCAGACTTCCAGCATCGGAATCCTGGGGAGTCTCCGTGAGGCTAACACCTTCCTTGTGAACCTGCTGTCCCTTTCTGCACGAGTCCCCTCTTTGCAGCAGGCCAACCCAGCTGGCCGGTTGGCTTTGACCAAAGCCCGAAATGGGCATTTTTCTTGAATCCCCAAGGGAAGTGCAAGGCATTTCCTCTAGTCTCCAGATACCCAGCCAGCTCCTGAGCACTGAACAGAACCTCCAGCATGTCAGGGGCGTGTTAGGCTTCCCTGAGGATTGTGAATGAGAAGGGGTGGGAGGAGCCCACAGCAGGACCAAGCACCAGAGGGCACCGGGAGGCAGGACTGGGAAATGCCCTGATCCCGAGGCTGGGTTAAGTCCTAGCAGGGAGCTTGGGGCTAGGGCAGGGGCAGACTTTAATCAACGGGTCCCACAAATGTTTAATTACTTGGAGGCCAATTTGGAGAGGGGGGAAATGCTGAGGAAGGTACGTTCAGGAGGTAGATATTTCAGTTGTGAGTTAAAAGTTGAGTGGGCATGAACTAGTAATTCCAAGACTTGGGAGGGGAAGCCCTTCAGGGGTAGGGAGCAGGCTTCCAGGGTGGGCAGGGCGTGGGTTCTAGCAACCATCCCCAGAGCCTCAGTTTCCCTTTTGTGAAGTGCTTGTGTACCTGCCTCATCCTCCCGCATTCGCGGAGGGCGGAGGAAGGTGCCGAGGAAAGGGCACAGTGGCCCATGGAGCCCCTCCTGCAGGCCTAGGCCGGGGCGGGGCCGGGCGCGGTTGGGGGTGCGGGCGGGGCGGGGCCCGGACGCGCGAATCATGCCTGGAGCGGTGCTGGCAGGGGACCCGCGGGCCGGCGCTGCGCGCAGTGCGTGCGGCTGCAGAGCGCGCGGCTCACCGGCAGCGGGGATCACATGAGCAGCGGCGCAGACGACCCACCGCAGCCCGCTCGTGGGCGCCCTGCAGCCGCAGCCCGCAGCCCAGCTTCCCCGCCCAGCCCAGCCCAGCCCAGCCCTAACCATGTCTATTTGTTGTTGCTTCTTTTTCAGGGACTATGGCAGTTCCAAGAGGAAATCAGGTAAGGGAGCGTCCGGGTGTCTTCCCCTCCTGCCTCCCCGACCCTGCGGAGGACTTTCTTGGGGGGAGGGGTCCATGGCCGCCTGCCCCGTGGTCCTGCGGGGCTGGGGGTACTCCCTTCGTGCCCCTAAGATCTCTGGTACTTGCGCCCTCAACGCCCCCTGTGTCCCTCTCGGTCCCCTGTGGGCAATGGGGGTGGGTGCATGGGGACTGGGGGGGGGGATGTCTCTGGAACAGCCTAAGCCCCCACAATTTTGGCAGCCGATCCTTCTCCTCCTCCCCCGGGTTGTGGTGCCCACTTCTTGGGCGCTTCCCGTGGTGCGGAGGTGATGGAAAGGTTAATAGAGACGCAGTATTTTCTTGGAGGGAGGGTGGCGTCCAGGACTGGAAAGGGGTCTGTCTTGAGTGACTGAGTTTTTAATGTCTGTGGCGGAGACCCCCCTCCGCCCTCCTTCCTCCATCCAGCTGAGCGCGTTCTCCTTGCTGCGGGGGAGGGAGCCCTACGTGGTGGCAGCATCCCAGGCGGGCGGGGGGAGGGGGGCACCTGCCCAGCCTTGGCCTGACAGGTGCCAGGGCTCCCTCGGAGTTTGCAAAGTGGGTGGAGTCAGGGAGAGAGGCGGAGCCAGCCCTGCAAGGCGGCTCTGTCGGGGCGGTGGGCTGGCGCTGTCGGCTGGGGTCAAAGAAGGGCTCTCTCTGGGTGGGGCAGGCTGGGCTAGGCAAAGGCCTGAGTGTGGGCGGGGTATCGTTGGGAGAGGGTGGGGGGAGGACGGTCCCTAGGAGTTAGGGCTCTGTGTGTACAGATGGGGGTGGGCGGATTGGAGCCATCCGTGCTGGCGTGTGTGTTGCCTATATTTATGGGGGTGAGCAGCCATGGGGGGTGGGGTCTGGCCTGGAGGATGTGGGAAATGTGTATAAACACGTGACTCTCGCTAATGGCTCCTGTGGGGAGGTATCTGTCCACGGTCCGTGGTCTGGGATCAGGAGAGGTGTGTGTGCCTGCACGCGGTGGGTGGGATGTGAATTGAGGGCGGTGGGGGTCGGTGTGGTGGCACAGTGTACGTTTCTGAGTATGGGCTCATATGTTTTATGTGCCCCAAAGCTTGCTTGTGTGTCTCCTGGGACGTGGAAAGTTGTGTCGCGGTTGGGGGACTGGGGGCAGGTGCGTACCTGGGGATGAGCCGGGCTACACAGTTGCGGGATGTGAGGCTACGTTACTCGTCTGGGTGCACAGATGCTGGGCACGGGTGCCAGTGTGCCGGGCTGTGTCTGGTTGTGGGCTGGAGTCTGTTCTCGAGTCTGTGCCCGATTGGGGTGTGCGTGACTGTGGGGTGAGATGCGTGCGCACAGCCCTGTCTGCTGCGCAGGGGTGTCTCGCGTGTGCCCGCCTGCCGGTGCAGAGGGCGTTCCCTCCAGGACCAGGAGGGGAAGCTGCCGCGGGAACCTGAGGAGCTGCAACATCACCTCAACTGTCACCTGCGTGGGAGCCCCAGGGGGAGAAGCGGGAAGGGGCCGCACACCTGGGGCCGTGTTCTTTCGCAGTCCCCGCCCCGGAAACCCTCGCCCGGGGACTCAGAGACGTGCCTCCAGGCTCCAGTTTGGGCTGCGTGTGACCTCAGGCGAGTTCCACGACCTCTGCTTCCATTTCCTCGTTTCCTTTAAAACAAAGACGATACCAGTATCAACCTCACATGCAGCACATAGTAACGACTGCAGAAGTGTTAGTTTGTCATCGTCATCATTACTTTCTGAGGCCATGAGACCTTGGATGAGTCCTTTCTCCATTCCGGGCCTCAGGGTCCCTCTGTAAAGTCAGGGGCCGGGCCGGGTAACCCCAAAGGCCCCCCCACTCCCAGTCTCTCTCTGCAGCTTGGGATCAGTGCTGCTTCTTAAGCCATGCGGGGCCCCGCCCAGGGAATCACCGTCCCCCCTCCCGCCCCCGCCTTCTACTCTCAGACCAGGAAAAGGATGGATGGAGGGATTTAATTGGTGTGCTTATGATAATGGCCACTTAGTGTCATGGTTAAAATGCCAACTCTGGAGCCAGACGGCAGGAGTTTAGAGCTTGGCTTTCGTCCTCTGAGACCTTGGGCAGATTTCTTACCTGCTCTGGGCCTGTTCTGTCGTCTGTGAACTGGGGATGTTATTCATACGCATTGTAATTGTTAATTTTATGTATCAACCGAGCTGGGCCATGGTGCCCAGATATTTGGTCAAGTGTCATTCTGAATGTTCCTATGAAGGTGGGTTTAGAATGAGATTAACTTAAAAAAAATTTTTTTATTCTCACCCGAGGACATTCATTGCTTTTAGAGAGAGGAAGGGAGAGAGAATTTAGAGAGAGGGGAAGGGAGGGAGAGAAAGTTTGATGTGAGAGAGAAGCATCAGTTGGTCACCTTTCGAATGCACCCCACCCAGGACCAGACCCACCTCCTAGGCATGTGCCCTGACCAGGATCGGTGCCCAACCAGCTGAGCCACACCAGCCAGAGCGAGATTAACTTTTAAATCAGTGGACTTGGAATAAAGTAGATTACCTTCTAACCTTCTATAATCCTCTGTGAGGTAGGTTGGCCTCATCCGATCAGTTGAAGGCCTTACTAGAACAAGGACTGAACTCCCCTGAGCAAGAAGTAATGCTGCCAGCAGACTGCCTTGGACTTGAACTGCACCTCCTCCCCACATCTTTAGCCTGTCAGTTTACCGCATCAGATTTTGGGCTCACCGTGTTTCTCCACAGTCATATGCATATATATATTTCTCTTTCTCTGGAGAACCCTGACCTAATACACATCTCAAATGGCTATAATGAAGATTAGATAAACTAATATATATAAGCATGCTTAGAACACTGCCTGCAACCTGGAAGGCTCTCCCAAAGTGCTAGCTAGCTACTGTTGTTATTTAGTGAACATTTACTATGTGCTGGCAACTTTACATACATCTCCTCATTTGCTGCTCTGAGCCATGTTGCATGTGGGTGGGACTCCCACTTTACACATGAGAAACTGAAGCTTTGAGAGGGTGGCTGGCCAAAGTCTGTGGCAAAGTGAGGATTTGAGCCCAAGTTTAGGGTTCTACCCTGCTCTGTCATGAAGCTCACGAAGTTTCCCAGGGACATTTGTGTGGAGACAATGGATGCTGTTCCCTGTCCCCAAAGTCCCGGCTCCTCCTTGGAAGATATCTTGGAGAAATATCTTATTGAGTACAGAACCAAGACTTGGAGCCAGGCCTGGGGAGGGTGGAGTCGGCAGGGAGAAAGTTCTCAGGCAGTATACAGACAGCCTCAGGGACAAGGCAGGACCAGTGACCTTGGAAACAGACAGCCTCAGATGTCCTCTCTTCCTGCATCTTCCCCTTGCCACCAGCCTCCCTGTTGCTCAAGCCCAACATCCAGCTGCCACCTTTGACCCCTCCCTTTCTCTCCAGATCCACCCACTTCTCCCATCTCCACCCCCACCCACTAGGAGTGCTCCCCTCGTCTCTGGTCTTTGCCTAAGGACCCTATCTCCTCCTGGGCCTCTCTGCTTCCACCCTTGCCTCTCCACACCTTTGTCTACATCCCAGCTAGAGTGAGCACTTCGAAATGTAGCAAATAATGAGCTTTCCTGCTTAAGTCTCCCCCAAAGGCCTTCCCCGCCCAACCAGAATAAACTCCTTATCCCAGCCTCAGAGTGCTGTGTGCTTCGGTCCCCACCTGTCATCCCGCCCTGGGCTCCTACCCTCCCCTGCTCCCCCCACCCCCTTCCCACTCCAGCACTCTCTGCTCGGCCACACCTTAAGCCCTTCGCATTCATTCTCTCCCCACGGTCTTTGCACTTGTGCTTCCCTCGGCCTGGAATGCTGTTCCCACCTGGCTGGCTCCTTGAGAGTTCTGCTTATTAGTTGCCTCAGAGAGGCTGCCCCTATCCTCCACCGTCTAACTGCCCCCTCCACTCACCTTACTTCTTCCATGCACATCTCTCACCACACTCTCATTATCTTGAATTTCCTTTATGATCTGTGTCCCACCACCTCGAGAGGGAAGGCCTTGCTGCAGGCCTCACACCAGTAGCAGCCTCCCCTTCCTGCCTTGCGCTTGTTGCATGGGTGGGTGGATGGGAGAAAGCCCGCGGCCTGCAGGTCAGGAAGGAAAGGTCAGTGTGCCCTCGTGTCGGGATGTTCTGTGGGAAGAGGAAGAGTTTTTCTGGTTGGGGCAAAAGGTCTGAGTGTGGCTTCTTTGGAGACCAGAAACTTCAGCTGATCTGACTGAGCACCAGCTGCCTGTCTGACACCGTGCCAGGTGTTAAGGTTATAGGAATGTGTCTTTCTGCCTTTGAGGAGTTTGCAGTCTGCTGTGGGTGGTGAGCTGCACTTACAGGAATGTGTATTAGACAGAGGCTGCAACACGGTTATCGAAGGAAGAGCGTGGTCCAGGCCAAGGGCACAGTGAGTGCAAAGGCCCTGGGGAGGGAGCTCACTGGCCTGCTCGGGACAGGGCAGCGGGGCTTGTGGCTGGGTAGAAAAGAGGTGGGGAGAGAGCAAGGGGGCAGGAGGTGAGAGCAGAGGTGAATCATATAGGGCCTTGTGGGCCACTTTAAGGATTTTCGACTTCGACCATGAGTGGAGAGCCACCAAAGGGCCCTGAAGAGAGGGGGACATGGTCTGACTTAGCTCTCAGAAGCACTTTTTCTGACCGGTGAATGGAGAGCAACAGGACGAGGCACAGAGACAAATTAGAGCTGAGGACTCCAGCAGCCGTGGGGGGAGTGTAGCTGGGCACTGGGAGGAGTCAGACGCCTGGGCTTCCACTCTCAGCCCCGCAGGGTGCTGGTCACCTGGGCTCTGCTGCCTCACCTGCAGGAGCTGTATATGTATTAAGAGCTTTCTCGAAAGGATTTGATTCACACGACTGTGTGGGGCTGGCTAGGCGCGTCTGAAATTCAGGGGCAGGCTGGGGGTGTGGTCAGTGGTGAAATTTCTTCTTCAGGGAAGCCTCCGCTCTTGCCCTTAAGGCCTTCCCGCT